CCTCGACTCGAGGGCAGAGCGAAGCACATCCAGATGTGGTACTTCCTTCTGCGCGAGCTACAGCAATGCAGCCAGGCCCGCGTTGTACACTTGGCCTCTGGTGCCAACACAACGTATATCTTCACTAAGACGCTTGTGCCTAAATATCATCAGCAACACTGTGTACAGCTTGGTCTAGTTCCTATAGCTTCTCAGTTGCTAGGACCCTGAATGTGTACTTCATATATTATCTTGACTAGCCTTGTGGCCCTTGTTCCAGTGGCTGGACTAGTAGTGCCGCCCTAGGTTACTCTTGGTTAGCTTGTACTCTTGGTGACTGGTCTTCAGACCCTTGCTTTAGAGGTTGGACTAGTATTGCCCCCATGAGCTGCTTGTCTCTCGCTAGGCACTGCCCCTTGTCTAGCCTAGGGGGTGTGTCAACTTATACAGATATTCTATATGTAGAAGTTATAGGCTAGAATGGTATGTGCTCTAAGTGAGTTCAGTACCCCACCTAATATTCCCCTTGTACCCTTTGATGCTATTCAACACTTTACTCTGAGACACGGCGCTAATTGCTCTTGACATTTTGGGCTTGATTGTATCAACAAATATATATTGCTAAATATTTATCTACTTTTAACGCCTGGATTTAAGACCGCTATGTCTTATCATATACCGAGCAAGAAAGTGGTGAAGTTTCTTATCAATGGAACGAATGCTTACAATCGGAGCCTTTTTTGGTGGGCAGAAAGCGCTAACCGGGTTTGTCGGGAGTGTACGTCACTTGGGTCTCATACTGACCAATTGAGTGTGTCTCATACACAGAGAGGCCGAATACAAGATAGACGCCGTATTCAAGACATAGTGTCTTCTATTCCATGGGGGTCTTCTATCTAGGCGTTTACGGTAGTTACAGTAGACATGATTGTTATACATGGCCTAGCTATGTCAGCTCTTAGAGGGGATAACATCTACTTGTATCTCCCTTCTCCACTTCCTAGTCAACGTTTTGTCTCGCTGGTTTCACATGGTATACAGCTAAGTTAGAAAACCTTCCTAACGACACGCTTCCGCCGTTACGTTACTGTAGCCCTATTTTTGGGTTGCGGAGCAACCTATTGTAATCGATCGCATGAGATTGATTTTTTTCAAGTTTTTTTCCTAAAAACAAAAGAGGTAAATAGCAGAGGATTTCCTAAAAATGAAACTGGTACAATTTGCAACTATCTGATAACTAAATAAATTCAAATTTGTTGAAGTTCTATTACACGTGTTTAGGGTGGCTAGGATCTAGAGTTGGTGGAACCATGAGTAAAAGTCAACGGAAGGATAAAAATAATACAGGCATATTTATAGTCTAGGAAGAAACTATTCGGAATGTACCTGTTTGTAGTGTAACGCGACTATTCGCGTGATATTTCAAGTGACTGTTCGTGTGACTGAGGGTGGCGCGACCCTTCGCGTGAATGTACGCGCAAACCTGCTGTTCACGCGTTGACTCGCTACTGCTGACGTCATCACGCGCGTCCTTCCATATGAGGTATCGCGCTACTGGTATAGTCTAAGTGTTACATCAGGAATGCATAAGTATACTTCAACACTCCCCTTCATTCGTGAGTGTATGACTCTGGGTAAGTGTCGCCGCATTTGCAGATTCCAACCAGATTGGAGCAGTACTGAAACTTGCCGCGTGGGAGTATCTTCGTCATGAAATCAGCTGCCATTTCTTCTGTAGGGCAATATTTCAGGATGACCTTCCATTTGTCGATTTTTTCCTTGACGAAGAAGTAGTGGAGGGCGATGTGCTTTGTCCTATTGATGAAGCCGGGCTTGTTTGCAATCTTGATTGCGCTCTGGTTGTCGCAGAGTAACTTGAAGATACGTGTCGTTGCGGTTTTCGCCTCTTGAAGGTAGAGTTCTTCGCGAACTGCAGAGCTTGTTGCGACGAATTCTGCTGTGGCAGACAAAAGTGCGATGATATCCTGTTTCATTGAGTTCCAAGAAATGATACCACCCAGTTCAAGTTTGAAAATAAACCCTGTACGCGAACGCCTGTTGTCTGGGTCAGCAGCGTAATGTGCATCAACGTATCCAGTCAGTCGAAAATTCGCTGCAGATGTTGTCGTCAAGCTGATGCCGATTATAGGACTAGAACTGAAATATTGGAGGGCTCGACGAATATCGGCCATATTCTCCCCTTCAGGTCGGCGTTGGTACTGTGCGAGCTGACTCGTGATGTAGGCAAGATCCGGGCGGCAGAGTGACTTAAGTTATTTGCAGATGTAAAGTCCGTCGCCGTAAGTGTGAGGGAGTTCGACGGAAATATCTGCATCCACATCTGCGTATAAAAACACATTTTTAACGTCCAGTTGGCAAAGTGGAAGGTGGCGGCTGGCAACAATGGCGAGAAGAAATCGAACTGAGGTATGTCGGCTGATCGGAGCGAAACTCTGGTCGTAGTGGATGCCGTGGGTTTGTTCGAAACCTTGAACGACCCATCTCCCCTTGAATCTGTCCAATTCGCCTGCTGCATTTGTCTTTATGCGAAAGACCCACTTGCCCGAAAGAATTTTCTTGCCGCGTGATGTTTCGCGTGGAACGAGTTTCCACGTTTTCCGCTTCTCGAGAGCTGCTACCTTTGCATCCATAGCCGCTTGTCATTTGTGAGCATCAGAGCCGGAGAGGGCCTGCTTGATTGTTTTCTGTTCGATCCTGGTCGTTGGTTGCTGAAGTGCGACGGCAAGACCGAGAATCTGAAGAGCCAATTGGTTACAATGAGAATGGGGTTGGCAGACTTCGACGATGTCGTTGTCATCAATTTTGGATGGCAGATGGCGGGCACCGTCATGTGATGTTGCGTTAGTTTTCTGTCGACGCAGGTGCTTCTCAAAATTTATGGCAGCCTGTGTCGTGGTAGGACGCAACGGGTCCGAGAGTGGAATGAAAAGCGGGGTTACTGTGTTGTTGGCACGTATCGAAGGAATATAGGAGTCGAACAGTTGTTCGGCTGCTGACGAGGACTGCTGCAGAATTGTAGAAGGTCTTGCTGCTGTGTTGTCGGGCAGATAATATTCTTTGGCTGCATCTGCTTCGTCTGGAGGAGTGGCGAAACTCCTTACGGCACTGTAGCAATCAGGATCCTGCTGCTGGCGTTCCTTGTCGCGTTCGAAGTCATCCATAAGAGGTTTCTCGTAGAAGATGCAGTCTTGGGCATACAAAACCTTTGGGGTTTCGTAATCCATAATTATCTCGAAATAGGAATCCTTGGGTACAGCAAGGTGTATTCCCCATCGAGCCCGTTCCTGCACACAGTTGCGCTCGGGGGTCTGTATTGGACCATGCGGCCCCAAACTTGTAAAAGTCGAGTGTCAACGGGGTGTTTTGTCCACATGACGTGTGGCGAGCTGAAGTGAGGTAGAGCAGATAAAGACAAGCAGTTGTGTAGGCGGACAGCTTGCGCCATTGCAAATGGCCAGAAATCTGCTGTCAAGCTGGACTGTTGTAGCAGCACATGCATCTTCACTTGTAGCATCCTGTTAGTTCTCTCAGCTACTCCATTCTGCTGATGGGTGTAAGGCACAGTCTTGCGCCTGAGTATCCCTTTCCGCGCCAGAAATTCATCGAACTGTTTGTTGGTGTACTCGCCCGCATTGTATGTCTGGATCTCTTTCAGCTTGATGCCGCTTTGCCACTCCGCGATTTTCAGCCATAGCTTGAAGGCGTCGAGAGCTTAGGACTTGTGAGGGATGTTCTTGTGCTAGACTTATCGAGTAGCACCATCAATGAAGGCAATTATATAGCGGTATTCGTTGTCGGTGATATCTTCTGCTTCCTGCGGCATGAAGAGTATTTAACTGAAAACGACATCCATAGGTGAGTATTTAGTAGCACTTGGAAAGTGCAACAGGAATGGAACGCGACTTAGGTGAGCTCTGGGGCAGATGGTGCAGGGTAGTTGACAACTGTTAGGTCGATGCTCTTGACCGGTTGTTAGAAGGAGAGTTTGTTGAAAACCGAGTCTTTAATCGAGTTGATGAGAGCTTCTTGCGAGGGATGACCTGATCGTTTGTGCCAAATTTCTGCTGTAGTCCTAAGATCCTTTGAACGCAGCTACAAGTCGGAGTGGATGAAGAAAGCTGGCGAAAGATGAATCGTTGGCACAGAGCTGATGCAGCAGCCAGTGCCGAAAGGCTGGATGAACCTGGGTTCCTCCGCAGTTTGAATTCAAGGTATGCCGAGGTGTTGGCGACATGCTTAAGAAATCAGTTACGATTAAATCTTTCTTGCACCATGAGCGTTCAACCTCCATAGGTTCTTCGACTATAGCAGACGTTGGTTCATGATTGTAGTAACCCCAATTTCCATCTCCAGATGCCCATGTTCCTTGAAGTGTTTCTGTTGCTGCTGATGCTGCTTATGTTGGCTCTGCTGCAGATTCGTCCAGGGATTTGGTGCGAGAAGGTTGAGGCGTGAGGCATAAGACATTAAGACCGCTATGGTCTTGGCATTGAAGGTGGTGAGATAGTCTTGACAGGGGCGGCTTCACCCGACTTCTCCCAATTCCTGTTTTTCAGGTTCAGACACTCTTCAATATTTTGCAGAATTTGCAGAAGCCATTTCCTCATTTTCTTGTTTGCTCCCATTGATTTGATGCACCTCTTGTCTGCTCCTTGACTTGGTCCACCTGTTTTGAAGTTCAACCCACTCGTGGCTTTGCCTCCTTTTGCGTTGTACAGGTTCAAGTCTTGCTGCTCTACCATCAGAGTAGCGGAAAGAGAAGTTTATGAGATGTTCTCTTGGGAATGAAGAAGATACTTGCACTACCTCCATTCGGGTTCAAGTCCAGCCAGAAGAATAGTGACGAAGAGCTCGTTACTGAGATTTCCTCCGCACTTGCTGAGCTGATCCCGAAGCCCGAAGGGTTCTGCACCTATTGATGTAGCTACAAGCTTTTTCTCTCAAAAGCATTTGCATTGCTGTAAGTTGACTTAACAGTTTGCTCTGTGTGATGCAATCTTGTGCTTGATATAACTTGTGCAGCTAGTCCCTGTCGAGAGACCCGATGTGTCACAGGATCGAATGTGTTAAGGAAAAATTGCACTATCGATTGATGCACGGCGCTTTTATACTTCCAAGGTACATCAGGTAACCAGGTTTATCCTATCCAAAGGAGATGGGAATGAGAAAGAAGTGAAACGGGGTTGTACTCTCGCACTTTCCCCCTTCAAAGTTGGGTGGTAGAAGTAACACCCTGCTGGACAAGGTAGTCGTGAAGAGGATGGCGAGCGTTATCCATCGCATATTATGGAACCCAGCTATCCTCAGAAGGATCACCCCTTCCAACGAATGAGAAGCTCCATGGTGCCATTTCGACAACGACGGTGGGCAAGCACGAACTCGACCTCATACTCGGGTTCATCATGGATGAGGACGGGCGGTGGCGGCGGCGGTGGGCGGCCGGTGAAGATCGTGTTAGGATCTCTGTAGGGCTTCAGTAGTTGGACATGGAAGGCGTTGTGAATCTTCCATATAGCTGGCAGGCGTAAGCAGAAGGTAACAGGAGTGACCCGTGCTTCAACGAGAAACGGCCCCCAGAAGCGAGGTCGCAGTTTGGATGGAAGATGACTGATGTCAAGATTGCGGGTGTCGAGCAGCACCTTGTCTCCCATGGTGATGGTGTGGTCGTTGTGATGGCGATCGGCCTGGCGCTTGTATTGCTTCTGAATATCGAGGAGGCGCTTGTGGGTCTGATCCCAAAGCAAGTGCATGGTCGTGATGAAGTCGTGTGCAGGTTGGACTGTGGCTGATACGGTTGGTTTCTGTGGCATGAACGGGTTGCGTCCGTAACAGAAGAAGAATGGCGTCTGTCCACTAGCGACATGGGTGGCATTGTTGTAGACAAACTCCAGGACGGGTAGATGCAAGTCCCACTTATGGATTTCGTCCTTGCATGCTGTGCGGAGGAGTTGCTCTACAATTTGGTTGAGACACTCGGTCTGGCCGTCTGTCCGCGGATGGTAGCCGGATGACATGGCGAGTTTCGTCCCGAGCAGCGACGTTAGTTCTTTCCATAACTTGCTGGTGAACTTGGGGTCTCGGTCGGATATGAGAGTGGTTGGAATGCCATACTGTAAGATGATGTAGCGAACAAATAGTTGTGTTGTCTCCTCGGTGCGTGTTGTCGTGTGTGTCGCGATGAAGTGTCCCATTTTGGAGAGTTTTTCGATGACGACAAGGATTGCGTCATGACTGCTTGAGGTAGTTGGTAACCCGGTGATGAAGTCCAGGCTCAACACTTGCCATGGTTGTTCTGGGATAGGAAGAGGCTGTAGCACTCTTGACTTTTTCTGCTTGCTGCTCTTCATCCGCTGACATGTATTGCACGAGGTGACGAATTGCTGTACGTCGCCTGCCATGTGCGGCCAATAGTAGTGCTTTGCAATACCGATGAGTGTCTTGTTGCTACCGAAGTGCCCTCGTATAGGACATCGTGGTATTCTTCGAGTAGTAACTAGTGCAAAGGAGGGTAATCGGGTACCCATATTTTCTTTTATCCTTTCCGGTATGCAATGTCATTGTCCCACTGTAGCAGGTGTTGCTTTTCTGCCAATGGATTTTCGGGTTCAATGGTGTACCCGTGTGTGAAGAGTCCCTTGAGTAGTGGGTTCATCCCTTCGACCTAGATAGTGGCAACGTGTGCAGGCTCGCTAAGAGCATCTGCTTTGTTTTTTTGTGGCTGGGCTTGTACACGATATCGTAGTGGAAGTGCATGTCGAGGAAGTCAATGCACCAGACGTGCCGCCTGGAGAGGTTTGGTTGTGTCTTCAAATATTTCAGGCTGCAGTAGTCGGTGTAGACGGTTGTTTTTCGTCCTTCGAGATAGCATCTACACGTTCTGAAGGCGATGATACTATCAAAGGCCTCCTTGTCGTGAATCGGGTGGTTTAGTTATACCCCGTTTAGACTGCTCCCACTGCCTGGTTGCTAGCGTCAGCTTCGATGATGTAGTCGCGTTCGAGGTCTTGCAAAATGAGTATAAGTGCGGATGTAAGTGCTTGTTTTAGCTACTCCACGGCTGTCACAGGATCGAATGAGGTTTGCTTAATGTTGCACTATCCATGAGTACAAGGTGCTTTTATATTTCCAGAGTACATCAGGTAACCAGGTTTATCCTATCCAAAAGGAATAGACCTTTCTAGAAATAGAGTCACCCTGCATATAGCCACGCGAGGCTATTGGCTTTAAGGGATTACAACAAGATTACGCTAGACATAGCGCGCCAGTACATCCTGAGCTGGGTCGCTGATATAATTATAATAACTGGATAAACCAAAGAATGATGGAAAATGAGGAATAGGAAACCAAATAAGATGAGATAAAGACCAAATTAATCAGGATAAAAAGAGGAATAAAATAGAAAGGAAATATGGAAATGGGAAAGTGGTGTAACGGGATCGTACTCTCACATTTCCCCCCCTCAAAGCTGGGTGGTAGAAGTAACACCCAGCTTGACAAGGTTGTGGCGAAGAGGACGACGGGCGTTTTCCATGTCGAATTCATAGACGCAGCCTCAGAAGGATCAGAACCCTTCCAGCAAAGAAGACGCTCTAGAGTACCATTCTGACGACGACATCCGAGCACGTAGTTCTCCCATATCGTGGACGAACACGGGCGGCGACAGTGGTTGGCATTCGGTGTAGAGCGTGTTTGGTCTTGATAGGGTTTTAGAAGTTGGTATGGAAGGATCTTCCAAGTAGCTGGTAGGCGGAAGCGGAAGGTGACTGAAGTGACGGTTGCTTCGAAGAGGATAGACCGACAGAAGCAAGGTTAAAGCTTGGATGGAAGACGGCTGATGTCGATATTACGGTGTGAATAAATGTCATGATGAGCAGCCAAGTGCTTCTGCTGCTGTTGGATGTCCAAGTGGCGTGTCTGGTGTCAGAGCTGATGGACAACGGTGATGAAATGGATTTGTCGGGTGCTGTGGTGTGAGCGGGTTGCGTCTGTAGATGGTACGCGGATGGCGTTGATCATGATCGAGATGTTGTAGCGGAAGAGTAGATGTACTGTCCTTTCGGTGGGTGCTCTAACTGGCACACTGTAGCATGCGTTGAGTCTCGGGTAGCACATCCTGATGTTACTCGCAACCCGTCCACGTATGAAGATGACTAAGTGTTGGCGGTGTTGCAGTCGTGTCATAGTCCTGCTTCTGTAGCAGCGTTGTATCCGATACATGCAGCTTCTGTCGAATGCTGGTCCATGCCTTAGTGTTGTCGAAAGCTCTCATTAGCACGCTGTCTGCTAGTCACACTGCCTTGAATACAACACCACATGCAAAGTGCTGCTCAGCATATCCCTTGTGTTAAGAACCATGCAAGGGGCTGGTGCCATTAACGCGGGGAACTTCCAGAATCAGCGCCAAAGTAGTTTCCCTCGGTGGCTGCTCAAGCAAGGAATCTCAGCTTCGTAGATATCCCACGGTGATGGGTTAGGGCATCTGGGAATGTTAGGGCTATTCCCAAATAATCCTCTCCCATTTCCAAATGAGCATTGCTGACAGCCAATCCAGTATGACCTTATGCATGTCCAGTTTAGCACGGAGGCCATCGGTAGGCATCGGTGTCTGGGCGCACATATTGGGATAGGTCTTCTGGTGCCATCATGTGTTGTCTAATTCTGTCACCGTTCTTGAAGTAGCGTTGATGTCGAAGACGTCTCAGCTACTCAGCATCAATGTTGAAGTCTGCTCCATTTTGGCAAATAGGGGTGTTGTTAGAGATACGCGGAGTCTATTATCTGGAGTGGCATCGGCGCTCCATTCCACGCCTATCTACTTATGTGGAGGTGGTGTTGGTGATGGATTAGTTGTGACGCAGGTTTTATGACTTTAAGAAAATCCATAGGCCATGAGGACTTGTATACCGATAGAGTACCGTTGTCCTCCCATCCTCATAAGAGCAAATATCTCCTGCTCTTGAGGGTATATGGTATTGCCATATTGTTCCCTCGCATAGTGGTATCTCCTTCCCACTAGCTGGAAATCAATGTTGTACGTGGCACGGTCTTTATGATCATACTGGTGATAGAATCGCCTCAATCTTGTGGTTAATTACTCCTCAATCTTTCAAGCATCGTAACATGCACGGAAAAAAATCCGCGCAGGTCATTAACACCTGGAATCGTAACGCATGATTGGGGTGTCGCCTCGTGAGGTTGATGTTGAGACTGCTCCTATCAATCCCTTTGGATGGCTGAGATTCTTGATGAAGACGAATCGGTCAGACCTGTTACGAAGTAGTGTCTTGCTGGCCTTGATGAGACGGGTTCACTGCGTCGTCATTGCGTGCGGAATATGCTCCTTCGCAGAAACTTGGTGTTGGGAATATTGCAAGAGAAAACCGCTACTTCTCTGCAATCCCATAGCTTGTCGATCAATTTATGTGAAGAAGTGTCTTGTGGATGGAGAACATGTTTTCATGCAGCTCCATTGTTTCTCTTGGGTGAAGATCTCACTGTGTTAATATCGATCCATTTTTAACGAAGAAGACTTCGTCAAAATAAATAGATCGTTATCGATACTAGTCAGAAGATGCGTCGATTGTGCAATCGCTACTCACGAATGATGTCTCCATGATGATGATTTTTCATAGTGTTGTTAACGCTGCATTGGTGCCGTTGATTCCGCACCAATCTGACGATCCACGTTCTCTTGTCAGTTTTCTGCTAGCAGCTATTACCAACTAGGTAATTATATGGCAAATTTCTGACTCTGCAGATGACTTGCGCGCCAAATTCTTGACCAAATAGAGGAATCCGAATTTGGTTGTCCTGTGATATCAACGGTGTCGAAGGCGGCTGATATTCTGTTCTTCGCGTCATTCTCTATTTGTGTAGAACTAGCGCTCCATCTCGTCCGTTGAAGCTGAAGTCGATCTGACGGTCCAAACTTCAAGCGATCTGAAGATATTCCTAAGTCGCGTTCAGCAGCTTTTGGTGTCCGGGTCGACTCGTTTCCAGCAGCCATTCTTGGTTGTTGATTTTGAATGTTGAACGATCGGACGCTCCGATGAATTTCGCAGCCTGCGAGGTCCCGTTCCCATTTGCGCTGAAACTCGAATTCGCTCAGAAGAATTTCGTTTTCGCCTCGGTCGATCTGAAGCGTCGAATCTCCATCGGATGGATGTCATCGGTCACAGCTCCGCACATTTCGGATCAACTCCAAGTGTCGTAGCAAACTGCGAACTTCTTGGAATGTCGCTGGGAGTGTTCCGCCAGAACTGACGCGTTCGCAAGGTCGAGGCCTTTTCCCCCCCCGAAAAAAAATCGGCTCCATCGATGCAGTCCATCGAACGGTCGGCAAGGCATCTCGCCTTCGAAGGAGACCCCAGGTGCTACTGCGTGAGGCTAGTCGAGACTTAAAACGAAAGACCATTGTACTTACAGGAGATGAAGTTTCGACTCCATCCTCGGCGTGCTCCTGGGGGCCCAGCGATTAAGCGTTGAGCTGAAACCTTGGCTCTAATTACCAAGTGTCACAAGATCGAATGAGGTTTGCTTAATGTTGCACTATCCATGAGTGCAAGGCGCTTTTATACTTCCAGATGACATCAGGTAACCAGGTTTATCCTATCCAATGAGAATAGACCCTTCTAGAAATAGAATCACCCTGCGTAGCCATGCGAGGCTATTGGCTTAAAGGGATTATGACAAGATTAAACTAGATATAGAGCGCCAGTAGATCCCGAGCAGGGTCGGTGATGTAATTATAATAACAGGATCAACCAAAGGTTGATGGAAAATGAGGAATAGGAAACCAAATGAGATGAGATAAAGACCAAGTGAATCAGGTTAAAAAGAGGCATGAAATAGAAAGAAAAAATGAAAAGGGGAAAGTGGTGTAATGGGGTCGTAATCTCACAACGGCTTCCTGATATTTTGGTCCCCATTTATAGGGCGTGTTCTTCTTTAACAGTTTTGTGAGTGGTGTTGTGATTTTCTCATACTGTGGCAAGAACCTATTGTAATAGTTAGCGAAGCCTAGGAACTGCTGCAACTCCTTCACGTTCTTGGGTGTCTTCTACGTGCGTACGGCTTCGATTTTCTTGGGGTCAACGTGAACTCCTTGAGCGCTCACCATGTGTCATAGGAATTGGACCTTCTCGAAGGCAAATTTGCTTTTGGACAATTTGACGTATAATCGTTCTCATCGAAGAATGTCGAAGATGTTAGAAACAGAAAGGTTGAGTTTATTGATGAAGCAAGGGCATTACATAGGAAGAGAGAGATGAGCTAGGAAGGGAAGGTTGGAAGGGAAAGGGGGGTTAGGACCAATCACAAGGGAGGGAGGATCCTTCCAAATGTGGTTGACCACCAGTTGGAGGTGGTCCAAGTGTGGTGTACCACCAGTGGTTTAGCCAACCCACTTGTGGTGCCCCCACAATTGTGGTCCTTGTGTTTGGGGGCTCCAACCACAATTGGATTGGATTGACACCCCAACACAGGTGTACACCCAACTAGGGATGTAAACACAATATACACAACTAGCATAGCATAGTATATTCTAACACAACCCCATAGCATGCAAAGCTAGTGTATATGTAGGGCACAACCCCAGAATCAGGAAGGGGGGCGGGGCCCAAGGCCGAGAAGGCGGAGGAGGGCAGAGTGCGCGGTCTTCGGGAAGGCCTTGGTGAAGATGTCGGCCAAGTTGGCCTCTGCAGCGATCTTGCGGACCACCAAGTGACCTTGCTGGACCAACTCTCGAACGAAGAAGTAGCGGAGTTCAATGTGCTTGGAGCGGCCATGGAAGACAGGGTCCTTTGTGAGATGGATGGTGCTGGCGTTGTCGCACCAGAGGGTGGGACAGCGCTGAGGAGCACCGATCTCAGCAAGGAGGAAGGTGAGCCAGCGAGCCTCCTGAGCGGCCATGGTGCAAGCATAGAGCTCAGCCTCGCATGATGAGAGGGCGATGGAGGAGGAGCGAGTGGAGCGCCAGCTGATGAGGCCGCTGCCAAGGGTGAAGCCGTAGCCTTGAGAGGAACGGCGATCCGGCTGGGAGTCAGCCCAGGAGGAGTCACTGAAGCCAGAGAGGAGGGGAGGAGAAGAGCCTCCGAGGGTGAGGACATAGTCCTTGGTACCACGGAGGTAGCGGAGGACCCGCTTCGCTGCAGCCCAGTGCTCATCAGTGTGGCGACCGGTACCGACGAATCGAGCAAGAACACTGATGGGGTAGGCAAGGTCGGGGCGGGTGCACATCATAGCGTACATCAGCGAGCCGACGAGCTCAGCGTAAGGATGGTCAGAGGAGGAGGGAGCAGGAGGAGGGGCAAGCTGGTGGTCGGTCTGCAGGGGAGTGGTAACCGGCTTGGCCTGCGCCATGTCGAACCGCTGCAAGACTTGGTCGATGTAGAAGGACTGAGAGAGGGTAATGGTACGCGATGTGCGGTCCCGGGTGATGGTCATGCCCAGATAGTGCTTGAGCTCACCCAGGTCCTTGCACTTGAGGCGCGCATGCAGGGCGTCCTTCACTTGCTGCATGGCGGCAGCATCGTCAGCGAACAGGATCATGTCGTCGACATACACCAGGATGAAGAAGCGGGTGGGAGAGGAGCGAAGGAAAAGGCTGGCATCAGACTGAGAGGCATGGAACCCCAAGGACTGCAGAGTGGCGGCCAGCTTGTTGTGCCACTCGCGAGGAGCCTGCTTGAGGCCATCAACCGGGCGGCGCAGCTCCCAGACTGTGTTGGCAGGGAAGGCTGCATGAAAGCCTGGAGGCCGCCGCAAGAGGACCCGCTCCCGGAGCTCGCCTTGCAGGAAGGCGTTGGAGACATCCATGGAGGCAATCTCCATGCCAATGCGAACAGCATAGTCGAGGATGGCACGGAGAGTTGGGAGCTTGGCAGTGGGAGAGAATGTCTCCCAGTAGTCGATGCCATGGGTTTGGGTGAAGCCCTTGGCACAATACCGGGCCTTGTAGACCGGCTCCTCACCCGGCAGCTGCTTCACTCGGAACACCCACAGGCCTTCAACAATGACGTCGTCAGGAGAGGGGACAATGATAACGAATGAGGCATTGCGGATGAAGGCCTCGCATTCAGCAAAGATAGCCTGGATCCACTTGGCAGCATCGGGGCAGGTGATGGCCTCAAGGAAGTTGGACGGAGTGAATCTGGTGGGAGCGGTAGCGATGCCAAGGATGAGGAGGCCAAGGAAGCCCGGGTAGAGAGGCGTAAGGGAAGGTGTTTGTTGCTGAACGCCAATGAGCTCCTCATGGGAGTCCTCAATGAAGGGAAGGGAGGGTGGGGGTGGTGTTGGCCAACCCCATGGATGGCCTATGAGTGGGCCGTGAGAGCGAGTGTGGATGCGTGGGAGGATGAACGGAGAGGTGGTGCGGCGATGCCGATGAGGTTGCTGCAGTGGCTGCTGCTGCTGCTGCTGCTGCTGCTGTGGCTGCTGTGGCTGCTGCTGGTGCTGCTGCTGCACCTCCTGCTCCGGCTGCTGTTGCTGCACTGCCTGCGGTTGCTGCTGCTGCTGCTGCTGCTGCTCCATCCGCTGCTGCACCTCCTGCTGCTGCTGCTGCTGCTGCTGCTGCTGCTGCTGCTGCTGCTGCTCCATCCGCTGCTGCTGCTGCACCTGCTGCTGCTGCTGTTGCTGCTGCTGCTGCTGCTGCTCCTTCTGCTGCTGCTGCTGCTGCTGCTGCTGCTGCTGCTGCTGCTGCTGCTGCTGCTCCTTCTGCTGCTGCTGCTGCTGCTGCTGCTGCTGCTGCTGCTGCTGCTGCTGCTGCTGCTGCTGCTGCTGCTGCTGCTGCTGCTGGTGGTGCGATGAGGCAGAGTGAGCAGGGGAGTCAGGGACAGCTGGGTCGTAAATGTCACCTGAGGAAGGAGGAGGGGGAGGAGCAGGATTTGGAGGAAGGAGGGGAGCCTGGGGAAGGAGTGGGGGAATGACAGCATCAGCCCAGGTGAGGGGGCGGGAGAGAGGAGGAAGGGGGTCGGAAGGCGGAAGAGAATGATAGAACGGGATGCTCTCATCGAACACCACGTCACGGCTCTGTAGGAGGCGGCCTGAGGACGGGTGAAGGAAGAGGTAACCAGGGGCAGAGCGAGCGTGGCCAAGGTAGACACACTCAATGGCCTTGGAGGCGAGCTTTCCTGCCTGCCGAGAGCGGTCAGGTGGGGGGATGAGGACATATGCCTTGCAACCCCAGATACGGAGAATGGCAGCATCTGGCTTGGTGCTAGCCCAGAGCTCAGTGGGAGTGACAGACTGGCGTTGAGGATGTGGGTAAAGATTAGTAAGGAGAGCAGCATGGACAAGGGCATAGCCCCAAAGAGAAGGGGGCGTGGAGGCATGAGTGAGGAGGCAGCGGGCCGTCTTGGTGATCTCACGAATGCGACTCTCAGCAACACCGTTCTGCTGAGGGGAGTGGGGAAGGGTATGAGTCTGCTGGATGCCATGGGTTGAGCAGTAGGAGGAGAGGGTGCGGTTGAGAAACTCACCACCGCCGTCGGAATGGAGGCGGCGGATGGGGCGACCAAAGTGGACTCGGCACTGCTCGGCCCAGGTAACGATGACAGCAGGGGCCTCGGCCTTCGTGTGGAGGAGGAACACCGAGGAGTACCTGCTGTGGTCGTCGACTAGGACAAGCATGTACCGGTGCCCTTGGCGGGAAGGGGAAGGGTTAGGGCCCCAGAGGTCCATGTGGACGAGGTCAAGGGGGGCAGCAGCAAAGGAAGGATGACTGAGGTGAGGCTGTTGTTTGAGCTTTCCATGAATGCATGTGGCGCATGGGGGAGCGGAAGAGGACGGGAGGGGAGGAAGAGTGGGGGGAAGACCGTCAAGCAAGCGGGAGGAGACGGCTTTACGAAGTGTGGGAAAGTTCATATGACCAAGGCGGTGGTGGATGAGAACAGCGGGGTGGGACAGTGCGCGACAAGAGCATGGGGAGGAGGTGGAGTTGGAGGAAGGTGGCTCTAGAGGGAGGGGAGGGGGGAGAGTGGAGGTGCCTGCACGAGTGGTCACGTGGCATGAGGAGGGGCGGGGTGTGCGGAGGATGTACTGACGAGAGCGAGGGCAAAGTGGGAGGCGATGAAGGAGGCGGCGAGTGGGGCCGTGGAGGAGGTCACAGTAGGTGGCAGAGGCGGGGAAGAGGGTAGTGATGCCAGCCTGTTGGAGTTCACGAATGGAGAGCAGGTTATGACGAAGGGAGGGAATGTGGAGACCAGTGACCACTCCAGAGGGGAAGGGGGGGCAGGGGAGGGTGGAGAGATGAGTGCAAGGGATGGAGAAGCTGGAATCAGCACCATGAACGTTGGTGGGGAAAGGGAGGGAGGTGAGGGTGCGGGCGTCTTTGAGGGCAGTTTCAGTGGCACCACTATCGAGAACAAAGTCAATCGTGAGCGAGGAGGGAGCTGAAGACACGGGGTACTGGAAATCACAGGCATTAAAAACAGAGGGATACATGGAAGTGGAAGCAGGGGAAGAACGCATGAGCTCGCCTAGAAAGCTGGAGTGGGAGGCGGGAGCACTAGGGGAAGGAGAGCCCCAGAGGGGAAAGCCAGGAGGACCTGGTGTGGCTGTGGCAGCCATGGCGGCGGTGCCAAAGGCAAGCTGCTGCTGCTGCCATGCAGATGCTGCGGCTGCGGCTCCTGCAGCTGCGGCTGCAGCCTGACCACCAGAGCCCCACTGCTGCTGCTGCTGCAGCAGCTGCAGCTGCTGGAAGGGGGAAACTGCTGCAGCTCCTGGGGAGTTATGGGGTCAGCGACAGAGCAGGAGGAGGAGAGCTGAAGATGAGAGGGGAGGAAAGACGGAAGAGTTTTGACATCCTGGAGAGAGGGGCGGGGATCCATGGCAGACCAGCGTGGGGGTGTGCCAGTGTTGCCGCGCTCGAACCAGGCGTCATCATACGCCTTGAAGCAGGTCGCGGGGGGATGGTTGGTTTGGATGCAGCGCTCACCCGCCCTGGGACCAAAACGGCGAAGATAGGAACATGGGGGGAGAGTGCCAGGGCGGCCACCACGGCTACCAGATGAGCCACCACTGCCTCCACCACCACCACTGCTGCCACCCTCGACCCCGCCACCACCGCCGCCGGCTCCGCTGCCCCCACAACCGCCACCTCCACCCCCTCCCTGAGGGTTGGTGCGGCCGCCACGTGGGCGCCCGCCACGACGCGGCTGTGTGACTGCAAGCTGGGGGTTTTGGGACTCGGTGGAGTTCAGGCCGGAGGGGGGGGTTGAGAGAAGGCGGGCCTCAGCGTCAATGATCCATTGGACCACAGTGTCAAGGGAGGCGCGGGGCTGAGCCTCAGTGAAGGCGATGACGCGCACTTCATATTGAGGGGAGAGGCCTTCGAGGAGACGGTAGATCTGAAGGTTTGGGGGGAGAGTAGTCTGGCGAGCCTCAAGGCGGGAGGCAAGGTCCAGGAGACGGCTGGTGTAGTCAACGGCGCCAGCACTATGTTCGATCGTGATGCTGAAGTATTCCTTGAAGAGCGGTCCGACAGCATCGAAGTCAGTGCGTTCGAACATTGCCTCAAGCTCGAGCCAGATCTGGCGGGAGCCGATGCGACGTGCCTGGAAGTTGCGCATGAGCGCAGACGGGATGGCAAGGAGAAGGGCACCAGTAGCACGGCTGTCCGCCTCGAGCCAGGCGCGACGACGCTCAGCAAATCGCGCAGAGTCAGCGGCATAAGCGGCGGCGGTAGCGGCATGCTGGGTGCGGAGGGTTGCCGACCGCTCGTGTTCCTCCAACGTGATCAGGTAATCAGTATGGAGCACGAGGAACTCACGACGCTGAGTAAGGAAGAGCTGCTCAACTTCAGCGGTGGCAGCGCGAGTGCTGGTGCCAACGGGTACCATGGGGGGCGGAGGTTCCTCGCCGGGATGGGGAATGAGAGGGGGGGGATTGCCAGGGTGAGGCGGCGGGTCCCCAAGGTCACCCTCTGGGAGACCAAGCATGATGTCCAGGAGGCGGAACGGCAGGACATAAGCACTGCCGAGGACGCGGTGGAGGCTGCCGACGAAGGAATACCAGTTGGTTGCTGAGTTGTCGGCAGCGCGCACGAGATGATCGAGGGTCGAGACGTCGACGGGAGGGGGAAAGGATGCCATTGGTGACACGGAGTGGGAGGAAGGCGACGGCGGGTGGACCCGCGGTGGCCGGGAGGGAGCGGCGGCGGGTGGACCCGCGGCGGCTCAAAGAGGAGGGGAGGATGGGGATGGCTGTAGATACTGCTGCTGCTGCTGCTGCTCCTTCTGCTGCTGCTGCTGCTGCTGTTGCTGTTGCTGCTGCTGCCGCTGCTGCTGCTGCCACTGCTGCTGCTGCCGCTGTTGCTGCTGCTGCTGCTGCTGCTCCTTCAGCTGCTGCTGCTGCTGCTGCTACTGCTGCTGCTGGTGCTGCTGAGTCTGCTGCTCCTTCTGGTGCTGCTACTGCTTCTGCTGTAGCTGCTACAGGACGTTGTAGCTGACACCAAGAGCGTTCTTTTGCAAGTCGAATCACTCAATTCTGTCAACTATCGAGCGAGCTATGGCGTTTGGCGCATTGGGGGTTTTTGAAAATCCACCCAACAGAAAACTAGTTGAGAGGCGGCGGCTAGGAGCCTAGCAGCGGCGATGGAGGGGACGGCAATGAGGTGCACGTCGGAAGGGGACGGGGCGGAAAGCGTGGGGAAGGATCGGGATTTAAAAGTTGGCGTCAGCCATTATTGCTCTATACCATGTTAGAAACAGAAAGGTTGAGTTTATTGATGAAGCAAAGAAAGGCATTACATAGGAAGAGAGAGATGAGCTAGGAAGGGAAGGTTGGAAGGGAAAGGGGGGTTAGGACCAATCACAAGGGAGGGAGGATCCTTCCAAATGTGGTTGACCACCAGTTGGAGGTGGTCCAAGTGTGGTGTACCACCAGTGGTTTAGCCAACCCACTTGTGGTGCCCCCACAATTGTGGTCCTTGTGTTTGGGGGCTCCAACCACAATTGGGTTGGATTGACACCCCAACACAGGTGTACACCCAACTAGGGATGTAAACACAATATACACAACTAGCATAGCATGGTATATTCTAACAAAGTGGTGTAACGGGATCGTACTCTCACACTTCCCCCCTTCAAAGCTGGGTGGTAGAAGTAACACCCTGCTTGACAAGATAGTTATGAAGAGGACGACGGGCGTTACCCATGTCGGTCTCAGGTACCCAGCTATCCTTAGAAGGATCATAACCCTTCCAACAAATGAGAAGCTCCACGGTGCCATTCCGACGATGGCGGTGTGCAAGCACGGACTCGACCTCGTACTCGGGTTCATTCTGGACGAGGACGAGCGGCGGCGGCGGCAGTTGGCGTCTGACGAAGATCGTGTTCGGATCCCAATAGGGCTTCAGAAGGCCGTTGTGAATCTTCCAGGTATCTGGCAGGCGTAAGCGGAAGGTAACAGAAGTGACCTCTGCTTCAACGAGGAAAGTCCTGCAGAAGCGAGGTCGAAGTTTGGATGGGAGATGGCTAATGTCAAGGTTGCGGATGTCAAGGAGCACCTGGTCTCCCACGGTGATGGTGTGGTCGTTGCGATGGCGATCGGCCTGGCGCTTTTGTTGCTGCTGAATGTCGAGGAGGCGCATGTGGGTCCGATCCCAAAGCTGATGCATGGTATTGATGAAGTCGTGTGCAGGTTGGACTGTAGCTGATGCTGTCGGTTTTTGTGGTGTGAGTGGGTGGCGTCCGTAGCAGAGGAAGAACAGTGTCTGTCCAGTAGCGGCATATGTAGCGTTGTTGTAAGCAAACTCTAGAACGGGCATGTGCAAGTCCCATTTGGAGATCTCGTCCTCGGAGGAGTTGCTCAATAATCTGGTTAAGGCGCTTGGTCTGTCCATCTGTCTGCGGATGGTAGGCGGATGACATGGCGAGTTTGGTCCCAAGCAGAGACATGAGTTCCTTCCAGAACTTGCTGGTGAACTTGGGGTCTCGGTTAGAGATGAGTGTAGTTGGAATGCCATGTTGTGAGATGATGTAGCGAATGAATAGTTGTGCTGTTTCTTCGGTGCGTGCTGTCGTGTGTGTCAGGATGAAGTGTCCCATTTTGGAGAACTTGTCGATGACGACAAGGATTGCGTCATGACCGCTGGTGGTAGGTGGTAACCCGGTGATGAAGTCCAGGCTAACCACTTGCCATGGTTGTTCTGGGATAGGAAGAGGCTGTAGTAGTCCCGCCTTCTTCTGCTTGCTGCTCTTCATCCGCTCACATGTATCACACGAGGTGACGAATTTCTGGACATCTTCTGCCAAGTGGGGCCAGTAGTAGTGCTTCGCAATACCTGTCAGCATCTTGTTGCTACCAAAGTGTCCTACGAATAGGACATTGTGGTATTCTTTGAGTAGTAACTGGCGCAAAGGAGGGTAATTGGGTACCCAGATCTTCGTTGACCCTTTCCGATACGCGATGTCACTGTCCCACTGTAGCAGATGTCGCTTTTCTGCCAAGGGAATTTCGGGGTCGATGGTGTACCCGTGTGTGAAGAGTCCCTTGAGTAGTGGATTCATAGGGACTCTTCACACACGGGTATACCATCGACCCCGAAATTCCCTTGAGTAGTGGATTCGATCTGGATGGCGGCAACGTGTGCAGTCCGGCAAAGGGCGTCTGCTTTGTTTTTGTGGCCGGGCTTGTACACAATGTTATAGTGGAAGTGTGTCTCGAGGAATTCAATCCACCGGACCTGCCGCCTCGAGAGGCTTGGTTGTGTCTTCAAATATTTTAGGCTGCAATGGTCAGTGTAGACGGTTGTTTTTCGTCCTTCGAGATAACATCTCCACGCTTTGAAGGCGGTGATGATAGCAAGGTCCTCTTTGTCGTGTATCGAGACGGTTGTCACCAAGAATGCGATGAGCTGTGCCTTAGGATTTTCAGCAGGATGCCGGCAGGATTTTCCCTGCTGGCACTCCGGGCTGCTGTAACCTCTGCTGCAGCACTCCCCCCTGCTGCACTCCTGGCTGCTGCACTTCCGGCTGCAGAATTCCATGCTGCTGCACTCCCCACTGCTGCACTCCCCACTGCTGCACTCCCTGCTGCTACACTCTCTGCTGCTGCACTCTCTGCGGCTGCACTACCCATGACTGCTGCACCTCCCGCTGAAGATTCTCAACAAATCCCGATGTGGCCATGTGGGACGTGACATGTCAGCCCTGAGGTGCTGCAGATTGTGTGGCACAACGAAAGTGAATTGGTGACGACGGCGAGCGCGTCTCTAGGAAGCTACGCGGAGAACTATCATAGGGAGAAGGGGCGTGTGGTGTGACATCCGTTATGATGCTCATCCACGTTTCGCCGGAGAGGACCTGGCGAGCCCCCGCCAGCAGCTGTTTGTTCGAGTACACAAAGGCACGTCCAACATCGGTCACCATGTCATGCATAAGATCCAGCTGCTTCTCGTGCTACACCTGGTGAGTCATTTCACAATGTTAGACAATTCTTGCCAGCACGGCTGTTTGGTTGGCATGGATGCCGCGAGCATCGTCATTATCATAGAGCTGGATCATGGCATCACTGTCCATGCAAAAGGGATGGTATCAGTTCGCACGCCGCGTGTAGGCACACATCTGGCCGCATCTTCTGATGTTACTGCGTCACGCTGACCCCCTTGAAATGCACCCACTCGTGGACAGTTGTGAAGTCTAACGTCACAAGAGCCTTGATGTACTGGCATACGCACACCCCATACTCGTAATTGTTCTACTGATAGGGGATATAGTGCTCTTGCAACGTGACAACGACACGTGTTTAGTGCCCGGGCATAGAATTACAGGAAGGCAAAATGCATTAAGACACTTGTAAGGAAGCGAGGCCTTACCTTTACCGTTATGCACCTAGAATTCTTCAGGCTTTGCTGCACGTCAAACGCATCCGCGTTGGTTTTGTACCGCGCATATGCAAGCTCCAACAACCTGCCAGGAGAGCCAACAGACGTGTTTTGTTACATGCCGAGATGCGACATAAGGAGAAGCTGAACGACAGAATATACTGACTTCTAAGTCACGTCGAACAGCTTCTTGGTTTTGGTGTGAAGGCCCGCGTTGTCATAGAGTATTAACGCGCTGTCGCGTGCACATACCAACAAGTCCACCCCAAGTTGGAAGCAGCATGATGCCTCTACCACCATCAGAGAGTAGTGCTCCCTGCGTGCCATGGAAACAGCTCGGCAAGCACGGCTTGGCAAACTACAGTATATGTACCTACAGGCGTGCCATGGCGTCGCTCGCACATGTCTGTCGTATACCGAGATGAAATGTAATCGCACTCCATTAGCAGGAAATCACGCCCTTGTCTCGGTGCCCGCTTGAAGCTCCCGGCGTACGAGTACGCCTTTGCGTCCAGGGTGATCCGCGATCTGTGGCTTGGCATTTCCGGATGTTGTAGACCCAACAATCTGCGAAGGATTCAAGTACAAGGGAATCAACCGTGCACATGAACTAGATAAATCAAACATAGGCGTGCGCAACATTGCTGGCACGCACATGTTGTGGAAGTCTAGTATGGTGGCTGCCATGCATTTTCTTGCCGCCGAGCGTTGCAGCGTCCTGCCCCTCAACCAGGCATCCAAACCCATGATGGTTGTAGCACGAAAGGGGGGAACTTGATAATGGTTGCGATCGCATCGGTCGGCTCAGGGACGACTTCCTCGACTGCATCGTTGCCTGCCTTCGTGTCACTCCGGTCTATGATATTTACCTCTTTGAACATCAGATCTATAGCCACGGTGTCAGAATGTGCACCCAAAACGACGTGGAGGCTTTTACTCTGAGGCCGTCATTCTTTGGACACCGACATACTTACGACTGGTTTTCTGAGCAACGGCGAGGAACAAGCAGCTGTCGCCATGGGCGGATTCTTCTTCCTGACTTTCGAGCTCGTCATTCTTAGCAGGAGGCTTGCTACTATTTGGGGTGCAATAGAAGTTTCTGCGCTAGCTGAGCGCTTGCTACACACAAGACTACCTTCATAAATACTGCACCAAGCACTTCTTGCCTGGGGGGATGTGGGGATGAGGGTTTGATAGGTGTGATGCGTTTATTTGTTGACAGGTGGCAAAGGCACAAGTTACGGCAAGGCATGCTTAACTGTTTTTGCGAACCTGATTTTGGCACCAAAAATTAAATCGAACAATCGAGCAATGCACGTGGGAGATGTCACATGCTCGGCATTGACGCTGCGAACACTCCATACATGAATACTCGAGTGACGCACATGACCATATGAACTTATAGTGAACTTCTAGTTTTTACGCATATTGTACTTGTAGTAATCGCAGATTTGCATGCCTCCCATACAGTCCCCAATGCGGAGTTTCGAGCCAAAACGAGCTGACAAATAGATATACTTCTCTGGTGTGACTCAAGAACTATCATGGGGAAATGGCTGGACGTGTTAGTAGCAATAAGTGCACACGAGACTATAAGTTTCATATGCGTACACGGACCTTCCCAATGCATGGAGGTCTTGCATTCTGGTCGTGCTCACGTCCAACGCTGATGGTATTGACATTTGGAAGTCGATAGTGATCATGAAGGACAAGACGCCGGTGAACTTTACTCCTGGCTTCAGCCCCTAGGATCATGCCTACCTATGCCAATCAAAGGACGGTCACTTCACAACTATGGTGCACTCTCAAGCATGTTACCCATGTCGTGTTTGCATGTCCTCAGCATCGCTTGTGCACCTCGCCTCGTTAACATCGTGTGACGGTTCTTGCAGCTGTTCACGCGCTTCATGCACAACTCCGCATGGATGCGAACACGTTGATACATCAACCAACGGTCAGCTGATGCTCAGGGAGATCACACGTCTCCTGCGCCACATCGTCAAGCTGCGCCTGGGATGGCGCGCAACACCAGCTGTCGACTTTGCGGGTATAGACGACGAAGATCAGCTGTCCGCCTACTGTGCATGGAACTCCACTCGAGCCCCTTCCCGGCGTCGCCGCGCAAGGGAATTGCAAACTTCAACTGAAGGCATCCAAGGAAGGTACTCCACACCACCGCAAAGGTGTGCATGCGGCTCGCGATTTTCCTTACCGTGCTGTTAGACCATGTCACCTACATGGGCAAGGGGAACCCTTTTCTGGTCGACCGGCTTCTGCGCACCCCAACCAAGTGCCGCCGAGTTGCAGCGTACGCTGACACTGCAAAGGAAGGCGAGGTCACGGATAACCATCCTATGTTTGAAACATTTACAATGATATGGAGGGGGTTGAAGGACGTTGCAGAGTGCATGATGGAGACTGCCTTCCTAGCCGACAAGGTTGTGATAGACATTTGAGGCATAGCCGTGTGGATTAGTCTGTGAGTGCTGCTAATGGGTGTCTTTCGTGTGGTGTGCACATTTGTTTCTTGTCACCGTCTGTTGTCTGCTTACGACAAGTTTATTGTGCTAAAGTTCACAAATATGCTTTATGTATTTGATTTATCTGTGCGCATACTGTAGATTGGCGATACATGTGCACTTATATGAACATGTTGGTTGGGTGCTCATTCAGTTACCAACTGCTGTGCGTCAGTGCAGGTCTATTCTTAATCGCTCGCTCTGCAGTTATCGTGCCCCACCATGGCACACTCCTCCTAACGACGCGAATCATACGTTATCGCATCCCAGACATTGGTCATTCGTTGACCAGATTGCATAACCTTATATGTCTCCGTCATATGCCATGAAGATACTGTACATTCGTGGCAGTCCACCCGTAACAATGACATTAACAAGTCAGAGTACGTATCTCATTTTTCCATCAGTTCGATTACGAGAGGTAGCTCCACAAGCCGACCTTTAGAATATGCCATTTGCGCTGTGCGATGGCCGGCATGGCTACCCTCCCGGTCGCTTATTAGCGTGAATACCATCCGCACCGATTTATTACTAGGTGCGAATTCTTGCGCTAGATGCCCACCGTTGCGTACGCCCTCATGCAAGTTCACAGTTGCATTGCTGACGACAACGGCCGCGTACAGTGCCCGTTTTTCCTTTTATTAGGCATCCAGACAAAGATGGATGCAGCCCTCATCAGCATCGCGCATATGCAAGCACGAGGTGCGCCGACAGCTCAGCTCGCCCCCTTCGTGTACCATGCTTATATTGGCCACGCATTATGACGCGCATTCGATCTCGCGAGCTCAGCACCACATGGCTTTCTTCCTACGGTGCATAGCTGATGATTGCTTGATAAATCCATACGCGACATCCCTAGCCGGCCTATGTCTTCCACGCCCGTCCCACTACAACTACAGAGACCGACTGTGGGCATATGCCAATTGTATCTCATACGAGGTACGGGGACCTTTGTTAAATTCCACTCGTGTGCCATGGGTCCTCCTAAGCAAACCACATGTTGTGTTCTCTCGTGGTGCAGGACAAAGCATTGCCCCCCATGCATGGAAGAGGTCCACCCCGCACCATATGCCTCCAACACTCCCACTCTGCCTCTTGCCCAAAGAGTGAGCACTCTGACCATCCGTGTCGCATGCGGATGTCTTTGAACCTGGCACCTAGACCAATGCCACACGGTCGTATGTATGTTCCTGTAGACACGCACCGGGTGGGTTTGGAATCCAGCATGAACGTCAAAGAGCTGACTCGCGCATTCGGGCGGCAATATTGGGGCGTTGTACGCACCCTGTAGCGGTGCAGTGTCAGATGATCGCGGCCCACGAGCTCACACGCGCAGGCATCTGTTATAGGTGACAGCTAGGTCATGTGCTAAATGTGTGCCATGAACCACAGTGAATGGCTGATGGGTTTTGCCCCAATAATAGTGTTGATAATCAACTTAATAATCAAATTTGTGAAAACATCCACAACTGCACTAAATGCCATATGCCAAACTAGACTTGCACTGCCAAGCCTTAAAAGGCAAGCGCAAACAAGTGTACAGGCACTCCCCCTCACATTTGGCAAGTAGCCATACAATGCAGTCAGTCAGCCTCCTATATTTGTCACTAGGGTTTGCTAAACCTACTCTTCCGCCATGAGGGGGAACAGATGTGCAGCATACGAGCGGAAATTCCCCAACAAAAATAAGCTCCGGCCGCACTTGTCCAATCGGCCCAGATGTTGGTGGACGCTAGATGCCACACTAGACCGAAGAGCGGCAGAGGTGTTAGTGGAGAGCTTCCATTCTAGAAAGTCTGGCGCCAACGACAAGCAAAGCACAACCCAGGCTATAGCCCCGCCCATGACGCACGCGGAGGAAGGCGCGCTGTCCAACACCCCCCAGGTCACCGATCGGAAGGGCATTATATAGGAAGAGAGAGATGAGCTAGGAAGGGAAGGTTGGAAGGGAAATGGGGGTTAGGACCAATCACGAGGGAGGATCCTTCCAAATGTGGTTGACCACCAATTGGAGGTGGTCCAAGTGTGGTGTACCACCAGTGGTTTAGCCAACCCACTTGTGGTGCCCCCACAATTGTGGTCCTTGTGTTTGGGGGCTCCAACCACAATTGGGTTGGATTGACACCCCAACACAGGTGTACACCCAACTAGGGATGTAAACACAATATACACAACTAGCATAGCATGGTATATTCTAACAGAAGACGCGTCGCAGGTGTTTGACGTGCTGCTTCATATCGCGCAAGTAGATGAGGATGTCGTCCATGTACACCACCACACATTCGTCCAAGAGTGGGCATAGAATGTGGTTTATTTCAACTTGAAACGTTGCCGGTGCATTGGTGAGGCTGAAGGGCATTACCAGATACTCGTACGACCCGTACCTAGTTCGGAAGGCAGTTTTGTGGATGGAATTGCCCGCCATTCTTATCTGCCAGTATCCGGACCGCAGATCCAGTTTGGAAAATACCGTCGCTCCTTAAAGCTGGTCAAGCCGGTCATCAATTCGTGGAATCGGGAATTTATTCTTGACGGTGTGCTTGTTGAGAGCTCGGAAATCGATGCACATGCACAGGCTTCCGTCCGGTTTCGGTGTGAAGAGTACTGGGGCACCGTATGGTGAAGTGGATGGTCGGATGAGTCCTTTGGCAAGGAGATACTCGATCTGTTTCTTCATATCGGCTAGCTCTGTGGGGCTGAGCCGATATGGTGCTCGGAAGGTCGGCTTCGAACCTGGATCCTCCACAATCTCATGTTGGTGCATTCGGTATGGCGGTAGCTCGTTCGGAAGGTCGTCGGGAAAAATGTTTTCTCTCCGTCATCTTCCGTATCTGTTGCTATTGCCAGGAACCCAGTGTCGGTTCGCTTCACGTCCTTCTCGAATCTTGCGAGTGTCTCCATTCGGATGCCTCCTGTATCGTTCCAGCTGGGTAGCGAAACTCTCCTTGTGTTATTGTAGATACTTAAACTACAATTTACCAAGTTGATCTCGGGGTTGAATTTCTTGGGGAAGTCTTTCCCTAAGATCAAGTCAAGCCCCTTTATGTTTGTGATGGGGAGTGCAAGTTTCCAGGGCAGTGGGCCGATTTGTAGGTGTAACACTGCTTCGCCGTACACTGGTAACTTGCTACCATCTACCATCGTTGTAGAGAACATTGAAAGCTTGTACTCTTCTCGAAGTCGGTCGATTGTTGACTTGTCGCATACGGTGTGTGATGCTCCGCTCACAAGTGCTTGGAGGCATCGTACTTTGCAGATGCCCTCGAGCATGAGGGGCAGGCATTGCTTGGAGTACCCAAAGATAGTTTCATTGATCGGACCATAGGGTACATCCCAATATTCAGTATACACCTTTTTATTACTATCTATTCCTAGGCCGGGACCTGGCCGAGGCTGCTTGGAGAAAGGTTCTTCTCCAGAGCCGGGAGTCCCCTTGACGACGGTATGAGTCGTTGATGCCAAGGTTGCTGAACTGGATGCATCTGAAGGAGGAGTTCGGGGTTTTTGCAGCTTCTTGTAGACACCCAGCTTCCTCTTGAGCTGCTTCAGCGCCATTGACATCTTCCCTGGGGAACGGGTAGCCGTTGTGGGCTGGTGTCGGGAGGGGATGTTGACTCCATGGAAAGGTCAGCTCCTTTCCACACTCCTTAATTGTGCCCCCAAGTTCTCCGGTACCGATACGATCTCCACAATCTTCTGCTTTTTCTGGAGTCCCTCCCAAAATTTCTCCAAGACTCTAGCCCTTTGAGAATCATAAGTTTTCCTTAAAACATCCTTATAAGATAAATTTAACGAATCCTTCTAATTTCTTGGGTCTTCAAGGAGTTTCGCCGTCTTGGCAGACTCTTTTTTCGCGGAGTCAGATATTTTTTCAGCGATTTTCCCTGGCGAAGACTGGTCGTGGGGTGGAGATTTTCCCCCATAATTTCCTCCTGGTCGCGTCAAATCAGCTTCGTCGAAGTTGTTTTTTTATGGAATCCTGCGGCTCTTTTCGGAACTTTTTTCGCTGGGTAGATCCGCGATCACTGGCGATTCCTGTTTTTTGTCTTCTGATTGGCCGAAGAATTTATGCTACTGTTGCGTGCCCGATAATCTGCACGTGCGGCTTTCATTTTGTTGAAGTCGAAGATTCGATGGCCCGGCACCCCGCAAAACTCACACGTGAAGTTGGTGTTTTTTTTACGTGGCCGCGCGTCGGACCTGTCGATTTCCATCATGTCGGCGAACGTGGGGTGAGCCGAATGGTCGCCCTGTCGAGTAGTGCCGACGTGCGCCTGTCATGTTCCGGCGTTGACCATGTCAAACTGCTCCACTGCCGATACAACGCCACTGTAGTTTGCGTAATTTGTCACTGCCACATGTCGTTTAACTTCGATTTTCAGCTCGGCGAAATACGACTGTACTTTTTCCCCTTCGGTCAGGTTGGGAATGCGGTTATAAAATTCTTCCATTTGCTGCGTGTACTGTGCTACACTCCCGAACTGTCGATGGCGATTAATTTTTTCTCGGCCAAGGAAACCGGAATTTATCGGCTTGAAACGTTTCAACAGGTCGGTGTGGAACTGCTGCCATGTGGCTTTGCCGTGGATGAAGGTACTCTTGCCGCCGATCCACTCGAGTGCCGGCCCTCGCATCACAGTCGCCTCGAATCGTACGCGTTGACCGTCCCAAACTGGCGAGCTCCATCTGACGGGTGCGAAGTAGATCTCCATGCCGGCGATCCATTTGCAGACGTCGGAATTTCTATCGCTCGGATCGAACGGCTCAGGTGGGCGCGGCTTCAAAGTCTCGAGAAATTGCTGCAACTGCTGCATCGTCGTCGTTGTCGTTTCGTACTGCACGCTGACGAGTCGAGTTACTCTCGAACTCGTTTCGTCAAGCTTCGCGGTCGGCTCGCATCTCCTCCTGTAGGGCAGCGATGCGCCCGAAGAGCCGCTGGGTAACCTCGGCGTTGCCAAAGTTCGCCATCCTGTTCAAAACACGTGTGGAGGAGGTAATTCAAAAAATGCGGAGCTGGTGCGTACCAGAATCGACGCCGAATTAGTCGCCCCCGGCGGTTTTTCGAGGCAGGTTTTCCCGCTGCTGCTGCTTAGCTGAGCGCGGCTGAGTGAGAAAAGCTCTGATTACCAAGTGTCATAGGATCGAATGTATCGAGGAAAAATTGCACTATCTATTGATACATAGTGCTTTTATACTTCCAAGGTATACCAGGCAACCAGGTTTATCATATCCAAAGGGAATAGACCCTTCTAGAAATAGAGTCACCATGTGTATAGCCATGCGATGCTATAGGCTTTAAGGGATTACGGCAGGATTACGCTAGATATAGCGCGCCAGTACATCCCGAGCCTGGTTGGTGATATAATAATAATAATAGGATAAACCAAAGGGTAATGGAAAATGAGGAATAGGAATCCAAATGAGATGGGATAAAGACAAAATGAATTAGGAGAAAAATGAGAATGAGATGGAGGAGAGAGATGGGAATGAGAAAGAAGTGTAATTGGGTCGTACTCTCACACGCTGGGGTTACCCTTGAGAAGTTCCTCGAGGAAGGGCCATAGGTGCAGAGCCTGGGGGGCTATGGGCGCACTGACCCGCTATTAACAAACCCTTTTAACTTAGTGGTTAGTGGCTGAGTTCTGTCATGCTATCAGAGCGTAGGTGACTCGAATTTAATTCCTAGTGCTAGCGTTGCAGAGGCGCTCGTCTCCTCCGCTTATCCTAGCGAGGGGGGTTGTCGAGAGACCCCCCGGGGTTACCCTTGAGAAGATCCTCGGGGAAGGGCCAGAGGTGCAGAGCTTGGAGGCCTATGGGCACACTGGCCCGCTATTAAAGCAAGATATAATAATGACCCCCCTTTTTAGCTGGGCCCAGCTTGATAGGGGGTGTACAATAGGCAAAACGAGCCCGGCGCACGAACGTCAGAATGGAATTCCATTTCGCCCCTGGGCAGCTGACCGCCCATGGAGGTGTGGCAACACAACGAAAAAACAATGTGTGCGACATGACTAGAGCACCTAGCGACCCAGACGGCTCATGTCAGTGGGCTGCAAGAACGCGCGCCAACTAGAAACGGGTACCATATGCCCCCAAAACAAAAACAACTCATGAACCCATGTGAGGGACCTATGATTACGAGTATTCCAAAAATATAAAAGGGAACAGATACAAAGTCATCGCATCATAAGCTGCTAGTGACGCCGTACACATTTATCAGTGCGTGCCCGGTCTTAGAGGCTTAAAATTACGATAACCAGAAACGTACGCCAACCCGTCTCTGCTATAAAAGCCGTCAGCTGCATCGGGAAACGCGGTAGCCACAAACAACGGATGTGCGGCCCAACCATAGGCTTCCCGGGCTCGCCTTCTACCTCGTCGCGCTAGCCATCACATGCGGCACGCGTGCAGACGAGGTTGGCGCTAAGCTGCCCTGTGACCGAGGCGCAAAGAAAACGAGGTCCCCGCGCAAGACACTGAATCGAGAGACCATGCGCCTCGCACCTCGAGCCACGCGCTGTGGGCTCGTTGCTCGCCGCCGACTAAACCTAATCTTGATATGGCGCGGGAGCTCCAGCCTCCCCACCCGCCAGCCAGTAAGCACATCCCGCGAGAGGAGGCCAGGAGGAAAAAGAGGGGTGGCTACGGCAAAATGTGCAGGGGTGAGGGGGTTAAACTGAGAGAAGGGCTGGGGGAAAGGGAGAGAAGGGCAGGGGGAAACGGAGAAGAGGGCAGGAGGAAATGGAGAGAAGGGAAGGGGGAAAGGGAGAGGAGGGGAGGGGGAAAGGGAGAGGAGGGCACGGGGAAAGGGAGAGCAGAACAGGGGGAAAGGGAGAGGAGGGCAGGGGGAAAGGGAAAGAAGGGCAGGGGGAAAGGAAGAGGAGGGGAGGGGGAAAGGGAGAGGAGGGCAGGGGGAAGGGGAGAGGAGGGCAGGGAGAAATGGAGAGGAGGGCAGGGGGAAATGGAGAGGAGGGCAGGGAGAAAGGGAGAGAAGGGCAGGGGGAAAGGGAGAGAAGGGCAGGGGGAAAGGGAGAGGAAGGCAGGGGGAAAGGGAGAGGAGGGCAGGGGGAAGGGGAGAGGAGGGCAGGGGGAAATGGAGAGGAGGGCAGGGGGAAAGGGAGAGAAGGGCAGGGGGAAAGGGAGAGGAGGGCAAGGGGAAAGGGAGAGGAGGGCAGGGGGAAGGGGAGAGGAGGGCAGGGAGAAATGGAGAGGAGGGCAGGGGGAAATGGAGAGGAGGGCAGGGGGACAGGAAGAGGGGGCAGGGGGAAAGGGAGAGAAGGGCAGGGGGAAAGGGAGAGGAAGGCAGGGGGAAAGGGAGAGGAGGGCAGGGGGGAGGGGAGAGGATGGCAGGGGGAAAGGGAGAGAAGGGCAGGGGGAAAGGGAGAGGATGGCAGGGGGAAAGGGAGAGGAAGGCAGGGGGAAAGGGAGAGAAGGGCAGGGGGACAGGGAGAGAAGGGCAGGGGGAAAGGGAGAGAAGGGCAGGGGGAAAGGGAGAGAAGGGCAGGGGGAAAGGGAGAGAAGGGCAGGGGAAAATCGAGAGAAGGGCAGGGGGAAAGGGAGAGAAGGGCAGGGGGAAAGGGAGAGAAGGGCAGGGGGAAAGGGAGGGGAGGGCAGGGGGGAAGGGACCATCCTCTCCTGCTCCCCTTCTCTGCCTCTCCCCTTATCTCTTAAGCTCCCCTTCTCTCCAGCTCCCCTTCTCTCCCGCTCTCCTTCTCTCCCGCTCCCCTTCTCTCCCGCTGCCCTTCTCTCCCGCGGCCCTTCTCTCTCTCTCTTCCCTTCTCTCTCTCTCCCATTCTCTCCTGCTCCCCTCCTCTGCATCACCCCTCATCTCGTAGGCTCCCTTATCTCCCTCTACCCTTCTCTCCCGCTTCCCTTATCTCCCTCTACCCTTCTCTGCGGCTGCCCTTCTCTCTCTCTCTCTCCCCTTCTCTCTCGCTACCATCCTCTCCTGCTCCCCCTCTCTGCCTCTCTCCTCATCTCTTAGGCTCCCTTATCTCCCGCTCTCCTTCTCTCCCGCTCCCCTTCTCTCCTGCTGCCCTTCTCTCTCTCTTCCCTTCTCTCTCGCTCCCATTCTCTCCTGATCCCCTTCTCTGCCTCTCCCCTCATCTCTTAGGCTCCCTTTATCTCCCTCTGCCCTTCTCTCCCGCTCTCCTTCTCTCCCGCTCCCCTTCTCTCTCTCTCCCCTTCTCTCTTGCTACCATCCTCTCCTGCTCCCCTTCTTTGCCTCTCCCCTTATCTCTTAGGCTCCCCTTCTCTCCAGCTCCCCTTCTCTCCCGCTCTCCTTCTCTCCCGCTCTCCTTCTCTCCCGCTGCCCTTCTCTCCCGCTGCCCTTCTCTCTCTCTCTTCCCTTCTCTGCCTCTCCCCTCATCTCGTAGGCTTCCTTATCTCCCTCTACCCTTCTCTCCCGCTTCCCTTATCTCCCTCTACCCTTCCCCCCCTCTGCCCTTCTCTCTCTCTCTCTCTCTCTCTCTCTCTCTCTCTCTCTCTCTCTCTCTCTCTCTCTCTCTCTCTCTCTCTCTCTCTCTCTCTCTCTCTCTCTCTCTCTCTCCCCTTCTCTCTCGCTACCATCCTCTCCTGCTCCCCTTCTCTGCCTCTCTCCTCATCTCTTAGGCTCCCTTATCTCCCGCTCTCCTTCTCTCCCGCTCCCCTTCTCTCCCGCTGCCCTGTTGTAAAATATATATCTATACAACATGCATGCCTAGATTAGGAGGTGTAGTCATTATAATTATTGGGGGGTTGTTGGTTGGGTTGACCAACCCCATATTTGGGTTGGTCAAGATTGGATTTGGTCCTAGACATTTGGTTGGGACTATTCCAACCAAATGGTCCTTGGTCCTAGGAACCAACCAATCACCAAGCACCACACTTTGTGGTTGCTTGCCTTCCAAGCAATCTCTCTCATTGGCCCACATTGTGGCCAATCGGAGAGCACAACACTTTGTGGTTGCTTGCCCTACAAGCAACCTCTCACATTGGTCCACCTTATGGCCAATAGGAGAGCTTCCCTTCCAACTCTTCCTTGCTCCTTGTTTTGTACAAAAGAGCCTCTTGGCTCCCTACTCAACTCAATCTTTTCTCTTCCAAGCTAGTTCCTTCATGCCCTTCTCTCCCGCTGCCCTCCTCTCTCTCTCTCCCCTTCTCTCTCGCTACCATCCTCTCCTGCTCCCCCTCTCTGCCTCTCCCCTTATCTCTTAGGCTCCCCTTCTCTCCAGCTCCCCTTCTCTCCCGCTCTCATTCTCTCCCGCTCCCCTTCTCTCCCGCTTCCATTCTCTCCCGCTGCCCTTCTCTCTCTCTCTCTTCCCTTCTCTCTCACTCCCGTTCTCTCCTGCTCCCCTTCTCTGCCTCTCCCCTCATCTCTTAGGCTCCCTTATCTCCCTCTGCCCTTCTCTCCCGCTTCCCTTATCTCCCTCTACCCTTCTCTCCCGCTGCCCTTCTCTCTCTCTCTCGCTACCATCCTCTCCTGCTCCCCTTCTCTGCCTCTCCCCTTATCTCATAGGCTCCCCTTATCTCCAGCTCTCCTTCTCTCCCCCTCCCCTTCTCTCCCGCTGCCCTTCTCTCTCTCTCTTCCCTTCTCTCTCTCTCTCTCCCCTTCTCTCCCGCTGCCATTCTCTCTCTCTCTTCCCTTCTCTCTCGCTCCCATTCTCTCCAGCTCCCCTTCTCTGCCTCTCCCCTTATCTCTTAGGCTCCCCTTATCTCCAGCTCCCCTTCTCTCCCGCTCCCCTTCTCTCCCGCTTCCCTTCTCTCTCTCTTCCCTTCTCTCTCTCTCTCCCCTTCTCTCCCGCTGCCCTTCTCTCTCTCACTCCCCTTCTCTCTCTCTCCCATTCTCTCCTGCTCCCCTTCTCTGACTCTCCCCTCATCTCTTAGGCTCCCTTATCTCCCTCTACCCTTCTCTCCCGCTGCCCTTCTCTCTCTCTATTCCCTTCTCTCTTTCTCTCCCCTTCTTTCTCGCTACCATTCTCTCCTGCTCCCCTTCTCTGCCTCTCCCCTTATCTCTTAGGCCCCCCTTATCTCCCGCTCTCCTTCTCTCCCGCTCCCCTTCTCTCCCGCTCTTCCTCTCCGCCGCTTGCCGCCCCTTCTCTCCCGCTGCGCTTCTCTCCCCCTCCCCTTTTCTCCCCCTCCCCTTCTCTTTCGCTCCCCTTCTCTGCCTCTCCCCTTATCTCTTAGGCCCCCCTTCTCTCCCATCGCCAAGCCGATCGCCGCCGCACATGTCGCTCAGCCGCTCGCAGCCGCGCTCGGCGCAACGCCGCTTGCAGCCGCGCTCGGCGCAACGCCGCTCGCCGCCGCGCTCGCCGCAATGCTGCTCCCCGCCGCGCTCGGCGCGGAGCCGCTCGCCGCCGCGCTCGGCACTGAGACGCTCGACGCCGCGCTCGGCGCTGAGCCGCTCGCCGCCGCACTCGGCACTCAGCCCGTCGCCGCCACGCTCGGTGCTGTCCCGCTCGCTGCCGCCCTCGGCGCTGAGCCACTCGCCGCCGCTCTCGGCGCTGAAACGCTCGCCGCCGCGCTCGGCGCCGAGCCGCTCGCAGCCGCACTCGGCGCTGAGCCACTCGGATGTGCGCTCGACGCTGAGCCACTCGCTGCCGCGCTCGGCGCTGAGCTGCTCGCCGCCGCGTCCGGCACGAAGCTGCTCGCCGTCGCGCTCGGAGCTAAACTGCTCGCTGCCGCGCTCGGCGCTTAGCTGCTCGCCACCGCGCGGCAGGGAAAGCTGGTCGCCGCCGCGCTCGGCGCTATGCTATCCGACGTCTCGCTCGGCTCTACGCTGCTCGCATGGCCGCGTGGTCTAACGTCAGACGGCTCGTGCCCGCAAGCTCGGTGTTTGCCTGCTAGGGAAAACGAGCGCCGTTCTAGCCTGCACTCCGGGGAGCTCGACCTAGGGCTGCTCGCGTTGGCGTGCTTGGCAACACCCGCCATATGCAGCGCGCCTACTCTCAGTTTCGCCTGCCTTTCGCATTAGCGCAAATAGCCCTTTTCGAGGGGTATGGCTTTCGTGCCTGGTTGCTGCCCAGGAAAATGTGGTGCCGTATCTGTAACTATTCTATATTTCCAGTTTGCCTACTTACTCTAGGGCTGGCTCGGGGAGTCGGGCCGCCACACAACCAGCGCAAGCTGCAGCCACGCATTCTACGCTAGGGTGCTCTGCGTGGACTGGCATGCCCTCAGCCCTTTGACCGTCAAGTTGTGAACCTAGGTCCAACTTGAAAATCGAGTTGGACCCAGTTGAAACAGGCACAGACGTGCGGGCTGCCCTACCATCGCAGGTGAACGCTCCTCGCCTCAAGCGATGCTTTCGCCGCCGCGCTTATCTACGTGGATTCTTTACCCGTGTTTCTGGCTGGATGCTGCAGTTTTTGTTCCCGCGCACCAATCGCTGTCCTGCAAGGCTGTTTTCCCTCCTACCCGGGGGTAATAAGAAACAGTGACCCTGAACCCCCTCGCTACAAGGCTTGGTCCCTTGGAAAAATCCCACACAACCCCCTTTTGAAGTTGGGCCCGCCTTCACTATTCTCCATTCTCGCTTTAACAAGCCCTTTTAACTCAGTGGTTAGTGTCACAAGACTAGCTTAGCTAGGAAGCCATAGAATGGCACAAGGTTTAGCTAGGAGCTAGGAGGGGCCATGAGAATGGCGAGAGGTTTTAGGCTAGGAAAGTTGAGGAGAGAAAAGAGGAGATTAGGAAAGAAGAGAGGGGGATACAAGGAGGGGTGTTGTACCCCCTACAGTAATGTTCAGTAGCATCTAATCTACCAAGCATACACATTATAAAACTCAAAATATAATTTAACAGTTAGTGGCTGAGTTCTGACAGTCCCAGGCGTAAAAGGCTACAGCAAGTGAAGGTTCGAAGCACCAAACCCCCAACTACTATTCAGGTGAGAGATTCCGCACCAGTAATACATATGCCGTAAGCGAATACTTGTGGTAACGCGCGTGCTCTTCGATCTTTCCTGTCTCTGGATAACGGATTGAACTGTTGAAAAATCCCCCGATGCCAGAAGATTGCACGAGGAGTTCAAACTCGAATCCCCAAGTATAGAAGTCGCGACCATCAGATTTGAGATTGCTAAGAAATCTGCTTGATTTACGACAACTTTTGCAACGAATGGCCTTGCTTCTGCCATTTGATGTTGTTGCTGCTGTGGTTGTTGTTTTTGTGGTTGAGCAGGTTGCCAATGGAAGGCAAAAGACCCAGCAGATTCATCTCCAGGGGTTGAAGGCCCAGCGGCAACAACAGGTCTTGCACAACTCAAGTTATCAACGCTCATAGAAGCTCTAGGATGCGCTGGAGCTTGTTGTTGTTGCTGAATAGATTGATTAGCCATCAACAAAGCGAAGTCAAATAGATCGTCTGTAGAAAGACCAAAAGTAGGAGAATTTGTACTTGAATTTCCTGTCTTAGCGGCTAACATAATTATAGATCTATGACTCAAGCTTAGGGGCGTAATCAATACCAGCTTGTATCGGTTCTTGTTGTCTGAAATGCTAGCTTAACTAGGAAGAAAGGCCGCCATGAAATGGCGGCCAGAGGTTTAGTTAGGGGAGGAAAGTGCCGAGAGAAAAGAGAATCGATTAGGAAGAGAGAGAGGTACAAGGAGGGGATTGTACCCTCTACAGTAAGGTTCAGTAACAACTGCCAAGCCTATTAATTATATATAACTTATATAATTTTAACACACCCCCTAGGCTTGGTAGTCCCACACCCACCCAACACACCCCCTAATCTAGCACCCCCTTTCCCAACAGCTACTACTACTCCAGCAGGGCCAACCCCAAGGCCCTGGAGATGGCGACGGCGGCCGTCACGGCCGCGGCGACAGTGACGGCGACGACGGGCGTGCGGCGGCAAAAGGCCTGCGGCGACGACAGCGGCGACGGCGACGACTTCGGCTTACGACGGCCGTGAGGGCAGCGGCCCCCGCCCTTCCGGCGGCGTGTCCAAACTCCGCACAAGGGGAACGACCGGCGAGAGTGAGGCGGCGGCTGTGGCGAAGAGGGGGGGGGACAGAGGAAAGGGGGGTAGGAGCGGGGCTTCGGATTCTTCAGCACGGCGCCATTGCTGATGCCACGCTTACTGGCGTGCGGGCGGGCTGCTTTTCAAGCAGCGATGCAGGTCGTGCGCGACGGCACCAGGCCGACGACACAGCCACAGCACCACGACGGCGACACCACAGCGTGGCGTTGTCGCTGCAGCTGCTCGTCGACGCTGAGACGACGGCACTAAAAGGCCGCCACAGTGGCAGGCAGGAGGAGAGCCGCAACGGCGGCAAAGTAACAACAGGAACGCAGCGGAAGCATAATGAGCAGGCCCGGGACGGGCGGCCTGCTCTGATACCATGTCTGAAATGCTAGCTTAACTAGGAAGAAAAGCCGCCATGAAATGGCGGCTTGAGGTTTAGTTAGGGGAGGAAAGTGTCGAGAGAAAAGAGAATCGATTAGGAAGAGAGAGAGGTACAAGGAGGGGATTGTACCCTTTATAGTAAGGTTCAGTAACAACTACCAAGCCTATCAATTATATATAACTTATATAATTTTAACACTTATAACTCTAGTAGCTCTGATACCATGTAGAAGTGAACCATGTGTTTAGGGTAGCCAGGATCTAGAGTTGGTGGAACCATGGGTAAAAGTCAGCGGAAGACTTTATACCTTGTATTGGAAATGTCTAAAAATGACAAGGATAATAATAATGGGTAATAAAGGCATATTTATAGTCTAGGAAGTACCTGCAGTGGCGGAAACAATTGTCCACATGTTTAGCACATTTTCACATTTTGACGAGCTGTAGGCTATAAACATTAAGCCTTAATTCATGGTGGCCATACACGTAGAGAGGAGCAGTTAGAGCACTTACTCAAATCTCCTAAAACCAGAGTAGTATGTTTCATGGTCCTTCAAGATGACAACATTGAATAACAGCACATCCGGACAATTTGTACCGGGGACAGGCATCAAACTAGTTACTAGCAAAACTAGTACCTAGTCAACCGACACTTGGCCTTGATCACCACCTACACCCTCATAGGCATGTTATCTACGAGGTTAGTGCAAACCTTTACACGGATCTTCTCGCACTCTTCCTGGACCCACGCTTTTGCATAAGGGGGTGAGCACTAGGAAAATCGCGAAGTATTTGAACGTATGCAAGAGTACTGTGCACGATTTCATGTTGAATGTTATCTCTAAGACTAGCCATGCTGAGGTGTGGCCAAAGATGCCATTAGTCGATTGGTCTCGTCTTATCATGGATCGTCTTCATCGTACCGTTGTAGGTAAAAATTACGAGCAGAGTGGCGAAAAATTGCGTGTCTGCCACGAAACTTAGGGTAACATAGCACGGTTGACTGTGCATCCTTGCACTATTAGAATCACGCTAGGATCCGTAGGTCTCTGAGTGGTGCAGCAATCGAAGTAGTCGTAACTGGTGGGGAAAAATATCCGGGTTGAGATCTGGTGAGGAAGAGGGTCACTCCAGCGTAACATACTTCCTGCTCCTCTCTACGTGTATGGCCACCATGAATTAAGGCTTAATGTTTATAGCGTACAGCTCGTCAAAATGTGAAAATATGCTAAACATGTGGACAATTGTTTCCGCCACTGTATTCGGAATGTACCTGTTTGTAGCGTAACGCGACTATTCGCGTGACATACTGTAACTAGTGACTGTTCGCGTAACTGAGGGTGGCCTGACCCTTCAGGTGACTGTACGTGCGAACTTTCTGTTCACGTGTTGACTCGCTACTGCTGACGTCATCACCCGCGTCCTTCCATATGAGGTATCGCGCTATTGGTACAGTGTTACATCAGAATGCATAAGTAACCAATGTCGAGTATACTTCAACAGGGAGGGGGGTAAGCTTCAAGCCCAGTGCTTGAATACTTGAGTATATAAGCAACAATTTTTTTGTATTCCAAAATCTGGCTTACACTTTATCGCATCCAGTTCAAATGACCACACTCAAGAAGAGAGTCAAGAACCTTGCTCGAAACGACAAAAGCAATCCAGTTTTTGAAACGACAAAATCAATCCAGTATTTGAAACGGTAAAAAGTGTTGGTACCACCAACACACAACCAGGGCTCTCGCTAGGATTTGAGGCTGTCTGAACATGAGACTAAATTTTTGGCGCCCGTCTGACGATAATCTGAAATTTTCGGACGAGTCTGACGTTTCTGACGAAGTTTTATCCGCAGGCTGTTTTTCAGACGAAAAAAAATTGATCGTCTGAGTTGTAATTGCAACTGCGTGGACGCGTAAGTAATTGCAGGGTGTCAAAGGGTATCGCTCGTCTTGAGTTAATCTTTCGCCTGAGTTTTTCTCGGGCCGCTCAGGAAAGATTGCTCTGGTAGGAGACTACCGTTTGGCGAGGGGGGAAGCGAGACGGAGGTGGAGACAGAGCCCTTGCAAACCCCTTTCGATGTGATTGGCTAATGGCCTAGAAATTCATCAACGTGGGAGTGATTCGAATGGTCAGGAAATCTGAGCCGTTAATCACCATCTCAGTCGAACGGCTGATAATTGTCGAAATGATCACAATCGATCGTGACCGTGAGGATTTTATGGACTCTCAGTTGACCACACGGGCAACTGGCGGAAATTCCCCTAATGGATCAACTGCTGGTAGAAAATATTTGTTACATCTCTCCCCCGTCTAGAGGCAAAAACATCTTGGATAATAGGGGATGCAGTTGAGCTAATTTTTATGGGTTGTGTGGGAGGGGGAACGTCTGTATAGTAGGCCTTAGCCGATTGTATTTTGTTCTTGGGTGTGTAGGGGGAGTGTCTGTATAAGAAGACTTAGCCTATATTTGTAGGTTGCTTGGTAGGTTGCTTGGTGGGTGGGGGGGATGTCTGTACAAAAGGACTTCGCTGATTTTTGTAGGTTGCAGGGTGTGTTGGGGGAAACTCTCTGGCGTTTGGTGACTTGGCCGAAATTTCAGGGTTGTGGGCAAACAAGTACAATTTGCCTGTACCAGAGTTTTCGCGGGTCTACCACAGTTGTCGGTTTCATACGAAAATGTCCGTGTTGTCTGATTTCGCAGACGAAATATAATACAGTGTCTGTTTTTTCAGACAAAGTTTCAATAGCCGCCTTAACGTTCAGACGAGATAAAACAGGCGGTCTAACAAATCAGATGAACCTTAAAAAACGAGTCTGTTTTTCAGACCATCAGACCAATTTTGTCTGATATCTGGGGCCCTGCACACAACAATCCATAAAAAAACAATTTCAATAGACACGATCTAGAGAAGATGCAATAGAAGCATTGTCAATTCAGCCCCCTCAAAGATGTAATCCAATACCCTCAACAAGCATTATAACCCTGCGGTAAAACTCAAGGGAGGAGAAAACATTGATAAAAGAATGGGGTGGATGTATATAACTAGCGCAAAATCGACGATAGCAGGAGAGAGAAACGGAAGTGTGAAGAAATAAAAGAGATTAGCAGGAAAGGGTGTAGGAAAGCCCGACTTAGGAAAGGGAGTGAAGAACGGGAAAAAGAAAAGAAAAGAAAAGAAAAGAAAAGAAGGTGATAGTGAACACCCATTTCTATTCACTAGCTTGTAAGATAAGAGAGGAAAACCAAAGGGAGAACAAAACAAAGCCGAACGGAGGTGGGAGCAAAGAGAAACAACGGGGAAGGGGGGGAAGGGAAAAAGAGATACAAATGGCGAACTAGAGTTTGATAACAATTTTTTGGGAGAGAAACACAGCTGAAGAAGTCTAAGCGTCAACTAGCAACATCCCAAAAATCACAGTGCCAAAATGATACCCCCAAGACTGCCGCGGGTAACTTGAGGGTTTCGTGCTGTGGGGTAACCCTGGGGCTTCCGACTGGGTGACCTCGGGGAAACCGACGGTCAAAATTGTCTATATATAATAGTACATGTTATAGGCTAGCTAGGTTCATGCTTTGATAGAGTACAACACATTAGGTATATCCCCTTGTACAACTCTTTCTACTTCACTTTTTCTACGCTGAGATGGTATCACGCTAGGTCAGATCCTCTCACCCACTTCCGCCCTGCTCGTCTACTCGCGCGACATACAACAACACGTCGACCACCTACGACGCGTCTTCGAAATTCTTCGACGAGAACGATTGTACGTCAAACTATCCAAGAGCGACTTCGCCCTCGAAAAAATCCAATTCCTCAGACATATCGTAAGCGCTCAAGGAGTTCACGTCGACCCCAAGAAAATCGAAGCCCTGGGTACGTGGAAGACACCCAAGAACGTGAAGGAGTTACAGCAGTTCCTTGGCTTTGCTAACTACTACAACAGGTTCGTGCCACAATACGCGAAGATCGCCGCGCCACTCACGAATCTGCTAAAGAAGAACACGCCCTATAAATGGGAGCCACAACACCAGGACGCCATGGAGCAGCTGAAACAAGCACTCACGTCCGCACCCGTACTCATCTTGCCAGACCCCGAACGTGACTATGTCATCGAAGCTGATGCCAGCGACCAGGCAGTGGGAGCAGTCTTGATGCAAGACCAGGGGAATGGCCTGCAACCAATTGCCTACCTCAGCAAAAAATTATACGGGGCAGAACTCAACTACCCGATACACGACAAAAAGGCCCCTGCTATAATCATCGCCTTCAAAACGTGGAGATGCTATCTTGAAGGACGCAAGGCAACAGTCTACACCGACCATTGCAGCCTAAAATATTTGAAGACGCAACCAATCCTCTCCAGGCGGCAGGTCCGGTGCGAGCAGTGCAAGCAGCGTCGGAGCAAGGAGGGGGGGACAACGGGAGCGACGACGGGGGAGGCAACGAGAGGGGTGTAACAAGAGAAGCATGCGAACGAAGGACCATAGGGTGGATACCAGGATGGGGAGAGACAGGACGAGCACCAGAGGGGCGACGGACCCAGTGGGGAAGAACTGCGGACTGGGGAGGAGGAGGAACGGGGGACAAGTCAGGGATGGAGGGGAGCGCAGGGGAAAACGAGCCGGAGAGGAGTCCGGAGGAGGAAACAATGGGTCGTAAGCAGAGTCACGCACCGGAGGGGAACAGGCGGCAGAACAGGGGAACCTGGAGCAAGACCAAGGATATGAAGGGCAGATTGTAGCTGCTCCTGCTGCGGTGGCTGCGCCTGCTCCTGATGCTGCGGCTGCAACTGCTCCCTGTCCTCTCCAGGACCTCCAGCGGCACTACGGCTGCAACCGACACTCCCCGAAACAGCACCCCAATACTAGCACCCTTGGACGCACCACCCACAGAACCAGCACCCCCGGAGTTAGCACCCTCCGAACTCGCACTCCCAGAACCAGCACCTCCAAAGTCACCACCCCCAGAACCCGCACCCCCAGAACTAACACCCCCAACACCAACACCTCCAACACCAGCACCCAAGAATGGGTACCCCCAGAGCCCACTGCTCCCAGTTCCCGCTGCTGTGGCTGCTGAGTTTGCTGCAGCGGCTGCTGTTGTTGCTGAGGCAAGGGGGAGGCGACTGAGGTGACGGGGTACCGAGGTTGGGGGAGGCGCCACAAGGACAGAAGGCGCGTCCCCAGCAGCTGGGCCCCCAGAGTCAGCCGACTCCCCGGTGCAACCGAGGGAAACTGAGTGGCGTGGGAGACACCAGACTAGGTCGGGTGGTGCGGGAAGGGTGCGGCAGGTAGGGCAGGGACAAGGAAGAGAGGAGGAGGAGGCAAAGGAGCGGTGCAGTGCGGGAAACGCCGGTAGTAGGGGAGCATCTCGTCAAAGGTAATGTCACGAGAGTGGTGAAAACGGTGGTGTGGCTGGTGGTAGAACAACCAGTCAGAGGCGTCAAGCGGAAACCCCAGGAAGTCACAAGGAAGGGTGCGGGCTGAGAGCTCGTCGGCGCGAGTGTCGCGCACCGTGAGCAAGGCTGCCCCAAACGTGGAACGCAGACGTGTCACCAGGAGACCTGGTTCAGAGGAGGGTCGGCGAAACCTGTGGCCGCTGGGAGTGCGGCCATAGGTTAAGCTAGTGAGCAGCATAGTGCACGGCGAATGGCTATAGATAATGGGGTGCACCGGCGTGGACCATGAAGGTGCGGGCTACGTCCATGATTAGGCCGCTGCATTGCTCAGTAACCCCATTCTACTGTGGGGAGTCCGGTAGTGTGTACGTCCTGCGGATGCCCTCCGCACGACATAAACTATGCTAGAGTGCCAGAGGCAAACTCGCCATCACGGTCAGAGTGTAAGCGACCTACAGGCAGACGGTGGTGGGGAGCGAACAGCAAGAAGCCACGGAGGAGAACGGTAGGCACGTCGCTCCAACGGGAACACTGTGGTGAAACGCAAGAAGTCGTCAACGACGACTAGGAAGTAGTGCTCCCGACTAAGACCATGGTCTGGGAAAGGGCCCCAGACATCTGTGTGCAGTGCCTGTAGCTGTGCTGTGGTAGGAGGAAACGAGGAGGAGTGAGGGTGGCGCTCTGCCGGCCCTCGACGCAGGAGGTGCACAGTGACGCTACCGACTAAGGTAGGGTGGGGAGCGACGCAGGGAGACCAGTGACTAGACCGCGCTGGGACATGTGCCTGAGACGTGGGAGTGCAGGGTCACCTTAACGGTGGTGTTACATGTTGGTGCATATTCATTTGCACGTCATCCTGTCGTCTGTTCGCATCATTTCGTTTGCATTGTGTTTTGTGTGCTACGTTGTTTGTATGGTTTGTTGGGTTTGCATGTCTTTGCATGTTCATCTTGTGCTTGTGCAGATGTGCTTGGATTGTGCATGACATCGAGCACATTCCAACGAGCCAAGAATTTTGGAATCGGAGCACATATGAAGAAGTTACGAAGAAATGTTTGATGGATTTGTTACAACTCATTGGAAGTCCTTTCAGCTGCTACACCAAAGTTGGAGAGCCCTATAACGAGAGGACCAGCATGTGTGGGACTTTTGTCCCCACCTTGCAGCTGCAGCATTTGGGGTTTGGAGGCCAACCTGGCACAGTGTGAATTTTGTCTTGCCAGGCTGGCTGAACCTGAGGATGGGGAGTCAAAACTTTGACTCTTGTCATGTTCTTGACCATGGGCCTCCAGGGTCCTTCCCTTTCATCCTTCCCTTCCTACCCCACCTTCCAACTGTGCTTCAATGCCTTTTCTATCATGCCTCTTATCTTGTAAGCTTCAATCATAGTGACTCTGAGGACTGTCAACTTCTCCTAGGGCAGATTACCCCCCAGTGCGCCAAACGCCATAGCTCACTCGTTCAGCTACGGAATCGAGTGATTCAACTTTCAGTGGAAAGCTGACGCTGCCAGCTACAACATATCCGATTTTCAGATCGTTTCACCGATTGGAGTTTTTGATATAGCTATTCGAAGGTCGCGAGTTTTCTGGGCGTCATAACGAAGTGCTGCAGAAATTTCCAAGGAGCCATTGAATCATCTGCTTATAGCCTTCTCTAACCAACAAGTGGTATCAGAGCCTATTATCACGCATTTGGGACCTAAAATACGATGGGAGATAAAGAGGACTCTGGTGGAGGTGATACTTCAGTCCAAGGAGGCAGCTCAACCCAAGATTCTGGCATTGCAGCGCAAAGGGGAGCGCATACAAGCCAGGGGTCACTGCTTAAGGAGGTGCTGAAGAACTTCACCATTGAGAAGTTCTCTGGAGATGGCTATGATGATTGGGCATGGAAGATGCAGCTCTACTTTCGACAAATTGGCCTCTTGAAGCT